GTTTACTATGCAAATGAAGTCTCTGTGGCCTACCAGCAGACTGGGTTGGTTAGTTTTGGCCTCCCACTTGGAGAGGCCATGCCTTGAAATTGACAAGGAGTTGTGTCTATAAGCAGCCAACCCCACTGAGGTTTTTCCAGACAGAAGGAAACAAGAAGATAAGAAGCAATAAGAAGTAAAAGGAAAAAAGAAGAGAGAAGAAGCAAAGAGAAAGATAGGAGGCTAGGAATTTCCTAAAAGAGATGTAACACAGGTCAAGAGTTGTAACACTGAAGACAGCAAAAGGTCCAGAAGGGGTGCAGTGACAGAGCCAGAAGTGAGAGGCCTAGCAGCGCAGTTACTGGTGATGACAGCAAGGCCAAGAGCAGCCAGCTTGAAGGGGCTGAGGAAGCCTGCACAGTTGAGAGATGCTTGAGAGCGCTGTCCTGCACTAAAGAAGGGAGGCTTTGCCTACATGGATCCTGGTCCTGAGATGTACCTTGTTCCTTAATAAACAACTTAACTGTAAATATAGTCTGTGAGTTCTGTGTGGCCATTGCAATGGGTTATCAAACCCAGAAGAGAAGTAGAGAGTGCCATGGGAGGGAGGTCTGGTGTCAGAACAGGTAACAAGTTTGGATAATAGAGGTCCGTCTCACCTCTACCTCATAGGGATCAGCCTTGAGCTGATCTTGATTTGCATTAACATTCCTGACTTTTAGACAGGTTCAGATGACACTACTACTACCCCTACTACCCTTTTACAATCACCAATGCTGAAACAAACATGTATATGTTTGTCTCCTTAAGCAGAGATGTAAGAGTTTCCATGCAGGATTGAAGTTGTTGGACTGTAGTATATGTATGTATTTAACTACTAGATTTTAAAAAATTTCTGTGTAAAGTGGTTGTTATGGGTTGAATTGTGCCCCTAGAAAAGATATGTTGAAGTTCAATTCCCCTGTTCTTTGTTGTTACGTGCTGTCCAGTCAGACCCGACTCATAGCGACCCCTCCTTGGGTTTCTGAGGCAGTATCACTATGGAAGTAGATTGCCCAACCTTCCTTCCAAGGAGTGGATGGTGGATTTGAACTGCCAGCCTTCTGGGGAGCAGGCAAGTGCCTTAGGCACTATGCTACCAGATCTCTCCCAACTGCAGAAACCTTGGAAGCTCGCGTGGGTTGAGCCCCACAAAAGGGCTCTCAGCTGAAGGGCACGTAGGGCCAAACTCTATGGTTTGCTGGCACTGTGCTCATCACAGCACCTGGTATAGGACTGGATCTGCCTCGGGGAAAGAATACCTGTTGCCTAACTTGTACAAAGGCACCGTGTGGGCTAATACTGAGCAGAACGTTTTGTTTTGTCCACTCTGGCCTCACCTAAATAGGGCTCCTTGAAGATGTTATCAGTTAAGGAGAGGTCATACCTGAGTGGGGTGGGTCCTAACTGAATCTGTGTGTGTCCTATAAAAGAGAATATGAGAAAGAAGAGACAAAGGAAGTATGCTGTTATGGCTTGAATTATGTCTCTTAAGAATATGTAGTGAAGTCTTGGTCCCTGTACCCATGGATGTAATCCTGTTTGGAAAGAGGGTCTTCCTTTTGTTATGCTAATGAGACCATACCAGCGCAGGGTGGATTCTAAACCTAGTCACTTTTGCATTATAAGAAGACCATACAGACACCAAGTGAGGATCTTCTACAAACTAAGAGACATCAAGGAACCAAAGAATGCCTCAGGGAGAGGATGTGCAATGAGGGATATCATTGCTGACGTCAGATGGATCTTGGCTGAAAGCAAAGAATACCACAAAGATTTTACCTGTGTCTTATTGACTATGCAAAGGGATTTGATGGTGTGAATCATAACAAATTATGGATAACATTTTGAAGATTGGGAACACTAGAACACTTAATTGTGCTTATGAGGAACCTGTACATAGACTAAGACGCAGTCGTTCTAAAAGAACAAGGGGAACCACATGGTTTAAAATCAGGAAAGGTGTGCATCAGGGTTGTACCTTTTTACTGTACTTAATGCAGAACAAATAATCTGAGAAGATGGATGATACAAAGAATGTGGCATCAGGATTGGAGGAAGACTCATTAACAACCTGTGATATGCAGATACCCAACGGTGCTTACCAAAAGCAAAGAAGACTTGAAGCACTTACTGATGAAGATCAAAGACTACAGTCTTTGATCTTCAGTATGGATTACCTCAACATAAAAGAAAACTAAAACCCTGACAACTGGACCAATAAGCAACATAATGATAAATGGAGAAAAGATTGAAATTGTCAAGTATTTCATTTTATTTAATCAATACCCATGGAAGCAGCAGTTGAAATCAAATGACATATTGCATTGGGCAAATCTGCTGCAAAAAGCCTCCTTCAAGTGTTAAAAAGCAAAGATTTCACCTTGAAGACTAAGGTGCACCTAACACAAGCCATGGTATTTTCAATCACCTCTTATGCATGCAAAGGCTGGACAATGAACAAGGAAGACTGAAGAAGAACTGATGCCTTTGAATTATGGTGTTGGGGAAGAATATTGAGTATACTGTGGATGCCAGCAGAACCAACAAATCTATCTTGGAAGAAGTACAGCCAGAATACTCCTTAGAAGTGAGAGTGGTAAGACTTCGTTTCTTGTACTTTGGTCATGTTATCAGGAGGGGTCCGTCCCTGGAGAAGAATATCATGCTTGGTAAAGTAGAAGGTCAGTGAAAGAGAGAACGACTCTCACCAAGATGGACTAACACAGTGGCTGCAACATGGGCTCAAACATAGCAACAACTGTGAGGTTTGTGAAGCACCTGGCAGTGTTTCGTTCTGTTTACACAGAGTTGCAATGAGTCAGAACCGACTCAAGGGCACCTAAAACCCTAAGGAAGAAATTGCTAAGGAAGAAATTGGCTAAGACCCTGATTTGGATTTTAGCTTCCAGATCTGTGAGATACAAATTTCTGTTCCTTAAAGCCACCCACTGGCTTGCAAGCAGCCATCTAGATCCAACGATGGGTCGCTCCTCGTCCAGAGCAAAGAAGAATGAAGAAAACCAAAGATCCATGGAAGCAATTAGTCCAAGGGACTACCATGTGATGCTCAACCTATACGACTATGAGACCAGAAGAACTAGATGGTGGCTGGCTACCACTGTCATCCACTCAGAGGCAGATCTAGGTAGGCGATCCTGGATGGAGTGGGAGAACAATGGAACAAAACTCAAAATCATTAAACAAACAAAAAAGGACCAGATTTGCTGGTCTATTAGTGCCTGGTGGAACCCCTGAGGCTATGGTCCCTAGCTGCCCTTCAGGTCTGGAATTGAACCCACTCCTGTGGCTTCCAGCCAAACAAAAGACAGGCATATGAGCTGAACATTTACACTAGGTAGATACATTCTGTTTTGGTTACCTAGTGCCGCTCTGACAAGAATATACCACAAACGGGATGGCTTTAACAAACAGGAGTTTATTCTCTTACAGTTTGGAGGCTTTAAGTCCAAGTTCAAAGTGCCAGGCTCTAGGGACTGGGTGAAAACCCCTTAACCTTGGGGTCCAGCTCTGCCTCCTGCTCCCGACCCAGTGGAGCTAGAGGCATTTCTTCACTCAGACAGCTGCTGGCTGCTGAGGCTGAAAAGCCCAAGGTTGACAAGTAAAAAGGCACAGTCGCGACGTTACCAAACCACACGGTAGGCCATTAATTTAAGTCCATTTTAAGTCCCAAGGTTGGCAGAGCATGGCAGGCTGCTGAAAAACAACACGGCTACATGCAGGGTCCAAGCATGCCATGGACTAGAAACCATTCCTCAAGGCTTCTGCTTACATACAGGAAGCAGACCACATTCCCAAGGCAGCTACGCAGCTGCTCACAATAGATTCCACCATGGAATTGATTACCAGCTTCATCATGGGGAATACTACATTCAGCTGCCCAGCCACTCAACCAGGCCCAGCCAAGTTGACACAAAACTGAACTACCACACGCTCCCTGGAGAAATCAATCATGGGAGAATAGAAGGGCTGTGTATGCACAGGAAGACAGCTCAGGGGGCAGGAGTGCATGGGAGGGAAGGACACAGGGAAGAGGTAACTATGGGGAGGAAGTGGGAGGGGAGCTGTTGTATTGTGGGAAATTGCAGTCAATGTCATAAGACAAAGTACATGTGAGCTGCTGTATGGAAAGTGAATTTTCTCTGTAAACTTTCATCCAAATCACAATTAAAAAAAAAAGCCACCCAGTGATGGTATTTGTGTTATAGAGCAGCACTAGATTAGTAAGACAGATGCCATGTGACACTGCAACTGTAAATCAAGAAACATCTGGAGCTACTAGTTACTAAGAGAGAGGCATGGAACTGATTCTCCCACAGTCACAGAAAGAATTAACATGGCTGACATCCTGATCTCGGAACTACCAGACTCCAAAACCGTGAAGAATAAATTTTCATTGTTTCAAGCCACACATTATATGGTACTTTGTTATGGCTGCCCTAGGAAATTAATACAAAGACCAAACAGGAGATAGCAGTTACTAAGAAACTTGCCAGGTTTTAGAATGGACAGAACAGAAACAGAATTCCAGAGAAAACTGAGGCAGTGTGCCGAGGTTGAGGGTCAGGGCAATCTGGATGCAGTATAGGAGCTCTCTCTTAATCATATGCATTCTGCCCTGCCACTGCTGGGGACGGTCACCTTGGCCAATTCTCTCATTCCAGGGAAGCTTCTACAGCTACTTTGCACATCTGGATATTGCTGTTTCAGAAACCCTCCACACACACATACACACACACACAGGTACACAGAATGGTATTCATAACACTGCAGAACCGGATTAAAAACTCAGAGAGGGCCCCCTGCAGTTTGTTTATAAAATTCAAGCCACACACAGGCACTTGGCACAGACAGGTGGTCTTCCGGGAATATTCCAACATTTGGCACTGAAGAAAAGTATGCTCCATAGAATAAAATGAGGTTAGATAATGGCCTCTGGTGATTTAATTGCTTCTCTTCAGGCATGAGCTCTGCTGTGGTCTAAGGAGCTAAACTTTTAGGTCTTGGTTTAGCCATGTCTGATGGAGTTTTCAGTTTCCAAGGTTCCACTTCCACATTGAATTGCCATTGGAAGAAAATGGGAGGAGTGGAGAGGGTTCTGGAAAATGTCCAACCAGACCTCTGCCAGCTACCCAATGAACAGAACTGCAGATTAGGATCTTAAATGTACAGCTGAAACATGTCCAAGATTCATGTGGTGGTGAGATACCTGTTATGGACTGAACTCTGTCACCCCAAAATGCATTGTAAATCCTAACTTCACCTGTGGACATGAGCGCTGGTGACACAGCGGTTAAAACACTCAGCTGCTAAACAAAAGGTCGTCCATAGGAACCCAGCAGCTGCTCTGTGGGAGAAAGATGAGGCAGTCCATTTCCATGAAGATTGTTGTTGTTGTTATGTGCTGTGGAGTAGACTGACTTATAGCGACCCCTTCTTGGGTTTCTGAGGCAGTGTTACTACGTAAGTTGATTTCCCAACCTTCCTTCAGAGGAGTAGCTAGCTGGTGGATTTGAACTGCCAGAGATTACAGCCTTGGAAACCCTATGGGGCAGTTATACCCTGTCCTATAGGGTCACTCATAGTTGGAATCACCTTCATAGCAATGGGTTTAGCCTTATTTTTGGCTTTATACTATTTGGGAATAGGGTTTTCTCTCATGTTAATGGCCTTACTATATGTGGTTGTTGTTATGAGCTGTTGAGTCGGACCCGACTCATAGCGGCCCCTCCTTGGGTTTCCGAGGCAGTATCACTACGGAGGTAGATTGCCCCATCTTCCTTCCGAGGAGTGGCTGGTGGGTTTGAACCGCCAGCCTTCTGGTTAGCAGTCAAGTGCCTTACGCACTACTCTACCAGAGCTCCCGCCTTACTATATATATGTACATAAAATTTCAGATAATACATAAACATTCAATAGGTAAATGGTACCTCATTGCTATGCATTTGATTACTAGTGAAGATAAAGCATTTTCCCAAGTAATCGTTAGCTTTAACATGACCTATTTTCTATATTTTGCTCAATTATTAATTTAATGTCTGTTTTAAAGCTGAAAACAGGACTGTCAGGCAGAACGCAAACCTCTCCACTTCTCTGGGGTGGAACTGGTTTTTCCCAAGTTCCCTCCGGAGTCGTGGTAATTGAACTTCTTTCTCTTCTCTGCAATCATCCCCAAACTCAAACTCTTTCATGCAAAGTGTTACACTTCGACACCACCGAGCTGTGAAAATGGGCAAGAAAGCTGCATTTGAGTGGCAGGAGGTATCATCATTATGCAGTTATTCCTGAGCAGTTGTTAATGGTCAACTAATTACGCCTTACAACCCTGTGGCAGCTAGTCCGGAAAAACTAAAAACCCCTGAAGCAAGCGGAACCCTGCCCTCCATCCGCTCCCCGGCCTTTCCAGAGGGCTCTGGGTCTCCAGATAGGCAGTGGTCTAACAGACCCCTTGAGACTGTCCAGAGCTGGGGCGGGGAAGCAAGAGAATTCCCTCTGGCAGGTGACCCGCTCCGGGCTCGCAGGACAGAGGAATCAGATTGCAAACTCCAGCACTGGCCCCCAACTCCAAGTACCGCCGAGATTACAGCTCATCTCGCGAGATCACAAGCAAGGTCCGGCTCCCGGTGGCGGCCGCGGCGGTGGCGGCGGTAGCAGCGGGATGTTCAGGGAACGCTACAGACCGCGCTTCTATGGCGCAGCTGGGAGAGGAGCGGCCGAAGCACCCGCGGTTAACAGCAGGCGGCGCGCACGCGCAGGTGAGTGACTAAGGGCGCGGGGGCAAGAGGGCGGGGGGCGGGGCTTTACGTCGCGCCGCGGGCACGTCGCTGCGCGTCCTCAGTATTTAATGTCTCTGTGTTCCACCGGCCTGGGCGAGCACGTGGGGGAGCAGCAGGGCGCAGCGCTGCGGGTCGCGACAGCAGGGCTGAGGCGTGGGCCGGGAGCGGCCGCGGCGAGAGGACTCTGCACCCAGACGATCGCCAAGGAGCTGGTAATTTGGGGCCGCCGGAGGCAGCTGCTTCTGGGACCATCTGCCTGGGCCCGGAGGGCGACTTCGTCAGGGTGATGGGGAACCTGAGCTGCAGGTGCAGGGTGCGACGCGCGCTCTAGTGGCCCCAGAGGCAGGAGGTTTCCGACGCCGAGTGAGTGCGGAGGGGCTCCGGGCCGCCTGTCAAACAGGCCGTTCCTTTCCCTTTGCTGGCCTGTGCGCCTTCTGGTCATCCCTCGCCGGGGTTGTCTGCCCGCGAGCTCCTGCTGACAGATCGGGTGCGCGTAGCTTGGGGCGGTGCTCACAGTCGAGCTGTTCCTCACACCCTCGCCACCATTTCCAGGTGTGGGGGCGAGGACGCGACGCTTCGGGCGCGCACGCCCTCCTGTGAAACAGACCTAAGAGTGTCCCACCCAAGGTCGCCCAACCCCACCCGCGTTTACTTTTCAAAGGTCGTGTGTACCTAGTCGTACCCGGGGAAAGAGGCGGCTGCGCGGGGCGGGCTGTGGGCAGGGCCAGGTACTAAGAAGGGCTAGGAGGTCCCCTAAGCCCCGCCGGGTCCCCCTCCCTCTTCCTGAGGGATAGGTTGGAGTTGAATTGGTAACTTCAAGAACCTCATCCAACTTCTGGGCCCCATGGCTTGGGTTCTCCCCTTTTTAGGCCTGGCGCCGCGGTAAACCCAAGCAGGTAGCCCAGTTCCCGGGAGTTCAGTGCGGCGAACAAGTGGAAAGGGCTCGGTCTGAGCAACGGGGAGATAGGCTGTGAGAGACAGATTGTGATCCGAACTCTTTTAGAGCGGAGGGACGGTTTGAACCGAATTAGGGTGGGTCTCTCAAGAGCATTACCATGTGCAGCCCCTTTAAGCTCGTCGGGACAAACGGAGGCCGTCCAGCCCCGAGTGCCCGCTGACTTCACGCCCGGGGGCGCTTTGCGTCACGTGTTGCGCCCCGCCTGTCGCCCCCCCTCCCCCGCCTTCGCCGCAGGCCTGCGGTCTGGAGCCACCCGGACTTGTTTCGGGGGTGGGTTATGGGTTAAAGTGTGCGTGGAGAGGCGGTGGGCTGGACGCCTCAGGGCGGGCTGTCCTGTCTTATAGTAGTTTTTGCCCTGGGTTATGGTTCCTGCAATTTTTCCATCCCTGGGAGGGCAGGTGGGCGGTGCAGAACCGCCTGGAGACGAGGTGGACGTCCTGAGCTGTTCGGGATCTTTTTTCCCCGGGGAGATGCCCAGTGTGGTGGGCGCTGTCCTGCTCTTCGGCTGCGGTTAACAGAACGCCGGTGGCCTTCTCTTCAGGTGCGAGCTGAGGCCTCTTAGCCCGAGTGGGGTGTACTTAGAGGGCAATTAGTTAATAGCTGGATTAAACTCGCTATCTTTTCCCTACTCAATTGCAGACTAGTTGGTGTTTAAATTTATCTCCTGCGGTGAAATCTATGCTTGATACAGTCATAGCTGTTGGTTTGCTACTCCCCCTTGATGTCGCAATTACTGATCAAGGAGCACCGCTCACAAAACTATTAATTCTGGCAACTAATAACCTTTTTTGCTCTTGTAATTGTCAAATCCCTCCCAAATTAGTAGCTTTATTTCTTTTTCAACTATTAGAAGGGAAAGCTTGAACTCTTAGTAAGCACCTCCCGTCCACTTTTCCTCTTAAAGGAACAGAACATCTTTGAAATAAAGTCAGGCTGCCTTGATTGGTCGTTTATCGAATTCCTCTGTTGTTGACATTCACATGGCTCATTTGCTGATTATCTAACACTCCTGAGCTCTGGAATCGAGAAGTTATGTTTTTGGAGCTTTTTTTGACTGATGTTGAACCTTTTCTCTTTCACTTCCAACTGGTTTTGTGGGTTCCGTGTACAGTCTCCTTGAAATGTGGCCCTAGGCTAGAGGTTCTATAGATTCTACAGGTATGCAAATCCGGAACGTTTCAAGTTCTTTCCCACATTAAATAGCCTCTGTTCTGTGTATTAGGCAAGCGCTCACAATTTGCAGGTACCTGATCAAGCTGTTGAGACAGGGGTCTAATGGATTTGTGACTAGCTGGAGTCCCTTGTATGAATATCTCTCACAACCACCAGCTGTTTCTAGGAAATACATTCACACTTGGCCACTGCAGGGTGACAGTGGAGGTAAGTGTAAGTGACCTGCTCAGGTGTCTAGGAAGTTGATGTGTCTCGAGCGTAAGGCTGCCAAGCATTAAAATTTTAAAGCAGTTTGTCTTGCTACCTGGTTTACCCACATTATTCCTGGACTTTGGACTCAACCAGGATCATAGCCCTAGTTTGTAGGGGAAGACTAGTTAGTTTTAGCTTACACAGTATTCCCCTTGCCTACTCTAACAAATTGAGATAATGTTTGTGAGACTTGAGATTATACCTGGTACACTGTAAGTGCTCCAAAAAAAAAAAAAAAAACCAGGGAAAAAAAACAAACCTGAATTGTCTTCTTCCCTTAATGAAGCCTTAAAACTGACATTATTCGTAAATCACTTGAGTGATTTGAATTTTATTAAAAGCACTCTCCCTCCTGCCTCTGACCTAGAAACTTGGTTGGAAGGAAAAGGAAAACAAATTGATTTCCCCACGCTTTGCTAGCTAGCCTCCTGGCTTGAGCTTATAGCCAGAGAGTGAGTTGTGTGCATTCATTTCAGGGCTCTGAGGATCCTGCAGGATGTACCTGGCAAGTGTCTGCCTTCCTGCTAACCTTCTCCAGCTACTCCTTCCCCCTCTGCCCTGAGTCTAGAATCAGAGGGCTGCTCTTCACCTTGACCTGTTCTCTTATTGTGGGCAAGTCCATGGTTGTTTCAAGTGTGAGTTAATCCCTTCAGTTGGTCATCTGAGGTGAGTTTTCCACTATTCCAGGGAGGTGGTGGGTTCTATGGGACTCTTACCCACTGAAATCATCTCGCACTGAGAGTTGCTAATTGTTATAGTGGTCTTGAAGGAGCCCGGGTGGCATAGTGGTTAAATGTTCAATCATTAA